TGGACTCTAATCATCTCAGTATTGCAGAAGGGCTGGTTTTAGATCACCCACCAATATCTGGAAGAGGTCCCTAAGAAAAACTTTCAACACTTGGAAGATTTTCAACTAACACAGCTAGACCACAGCCCTCAGTTTAAGCAGAGATGGCTGTTTCAGCAGTGGTATTGCTATTTTTAGGTCCTTTATAATAAAAAAGTCTTCTCTGTTATAAGATTATTTGCCCTCTTTTCTGTTCTTGTTACTACAAAAACAATTTATGAAATAAGTTGGTTTATCTTAGGAAGGAACAGCCATCGTGTAAGCACACAGTAAAATGCAAACCCAAACAATTCCCCCTCACACATTCCCAGTAGCTGTGAATTTTTCAACAGGTCCTAGCAGCTGGCATCTGGGTGAGGGGAGGATGTATGTGTCCACACTGTTGTCAGATCTGGTTCAGCAACCTCTCCATACCTTGAATGGACAGGTTATCAAAGCCTTGCTCCTGCCCAACAGTGCAAGTGAATGCTTATGTTATATGTTCCCAATCTGCTTATGTGATGAAACTCATAGGTTCTTGAATAGAGACTGAATGCTATAGTCCCAAGAGAGGGAAGCAATACTTTATGTCTCTTTGCCTTTTTTTAACTTTGTCGAGATTTTGAGATGCCTCTTCTATGTCCACCAAGAGAGATCTGGATACCAGTTGCAGTGTTGCTGATGTAACTGTATGACCACACTGACTTCAGTGGTGTCACTGCAATTCTGCAGCAAAGGGAAGAGAACCAAAATCAACCAAAAAGCCATGCATCTGGCTCAGCTCAGACAGAAATGACTGGGGGACTTTCCACTGTTTTTACAGGTGACAGAGGAACACAGAGAAGTATCTACACCTCATGGAAATGTTCTTCCTAGTGTATCAGTTGAACACACCTGTTTCTTCTGATGACAATGTCATAAAACATTGTCAGACTCAAACTTCTTCAGACTCAACAGGGCCATGATCTGAAGTGCTTTAGGCCCTTGGTACTAGCACCAAGACACAGTACTACTATGCAGTGCTCCCAGACTGTGCCACTGAGCAATTATAAGCCATCATTGCTAGACTAGTTTAACTAGTAGCATCTCACAGAGTGTTCTCGAGGATACTGTCTTCAGTGTAGCCAGCTCTAGGCTGGAATATGGCCACTTCAAATCTCAGGGCAAACCAGTTGTGGAGAAGAACATGAAAAAGAACACTAAATGCAATCAAAATGAGATATACAAGCAGACGAGGAGCCAATGCCAAAGCTGGATGTTCCCTGAAGCACTAGTAAGTATTACCTTTAATTTTACCAGAAAATCAGACGTGACACCATATTCTCTTGGTTTTTAACCTTCGGTACAGATTACTCCACAATCCTTGAACTCTGTGTGGATCTTCAGTCATCCAGATGTAGCTGCTGCTTCGGGACAGTACTGCAAGACCAGCATCAGAGTGAGCCTGTGAGAGGAGCTGCTGGTTCAATTCCTGCTGCAGAGTGAAGCAAGCCACTAGGGGCTACAAAGGATGGCATCAGGTGTTGGTGGTCCCTCGTCCCAGCTGTGTCCAGCCTACCCCAGCCCTCAGCAGAACAGTAGGATTTCTGAAGAGTTGTGATTGTCTCCTGTGCCTAACCAAAGGCTTCTCTCTGAGCTACGTAGTATGTGAGTTGTGCCTCATGACCCTGTCATAATGATATTGGTATATACCTTAGCTGGTCAAGAAGGCTGGACACTACACTGTACACCTTGCAGGCAGTGTAACAAACCTGCTATTTTTCTACTGTAAGTACAAGTAATTTATGTCTTCTCCCTACTAGTACGCATGTAAAAGCTGGAGAAAATAGTATCTTACCAAGACAGGCTGGCCATGCCAGTTAATGCAAGCAGTAAAGGGTATGTTGCTGCCTGGCTACAAGCAGCTGGACTCATACACATTCAGGGATGTGAGAAAATTTTTCTCTTTTTTAGTTCTTAGATTGCTCTGTGTGAGTCTGTCTCTATCACAGGTAATTTCAAGCAGAAGAACTGTGTTTAATTGTATACATACACCTGTACTTACTCCATCAAGGAGTACACAAAAACCCAATCCCCACAGAGGGAGGTAGGTACATACACAAAATACTTCACAGGCAAGTATCCAAAGACTTCCCAAGTGCTGCCTACCACTCTCTGCTGAGAACTCCTGGCATCTGTCATGTCCCATCAGACCCAAGGGAGCTGCCTTCGACCATTTTGACTCAGAAGGTGCTTTCCTTATTGGCCTTTGGGGTTAAACAAGTACAGCAATTGCCTGCTTTGTGTGGGGAACGGTTGTTAGGGCGACTGGGAGGAATTCCTTGGCACCAGTACTAACCCGAGAAAGGAATGAGCAGAAAAATGCTCAGCCAGAGTCAGCAGCAGTGCAGAGGCAGTGCAAGCCAAAGGGATATGCTCTGCTGTCTCTGTGTTAGTGCCTCGCCCTCACTCCCACCCACAGCAGACAGACTCCGGGCAGCAAAGGTGATCCTAAAAGCAAAGACAATGCACCCTTCACTAACCTTTGCAAACCTCTGGGTGGAGTCCCCACAACACTGGCTGTACCCGCTGTCACCGGGGCTCGACCTCCTGAGCTACCCAGATGCTGAGGGGAATCAAGCCCTGAGTTTTTACTCTATTGCTTCTTCTGTGATTGAACATCCCCCACAACATACAGATGTGAATTTTCTCTTATGATACTTGGCTCATAGCTGCTTGCTGTAGTGAGGAAAGGAAACTAGGAAAATTAAGCTGTGCTATTGATTTTCAAATGGAAATAAACCTTTTTTGGGGTCATTTTCACTGTGAAACATGGTTCAAAAGCACAAGAGGAAAGGGCAGGGTGAGTAGCGAGCTGAAAGGGCAGGGTGAGTAGTGAGCTGCCAGGTAGGTAAGTACAGGTTTTTTTAGGCTTTAGCAACTTTATTTTTGCATTACAGATACTCTTCTTGCTCAAAAGTGCTGCCTTCACCATCTGACCCTTTTCCCCACCCAGCTCGCACCTCATTTATAAACAGACAATAACTTTGTTTGGATTGGTTTGCTGGCAAATTTACACAGCTCTCCCATTCAGAGATCTGATTTCAGGTGACGGTGAACTGATGGAAAGGCATTTGCTCTTAAGAATTATGAGGGCATTCAGCTGCTTGTATCCATTTAAGCAGGACGAAAAGGAAGAAGAAAATAAACAAAAAAAAGAGTAGCAGAAGATAGTGCATGGTCTCTGGGCTTGTTTATATTGTGGCTTAAAATCTGTAGGATGAAACTAGTGTAGTTTGCACAGTAAGAGTGCAAGCTTCTGGGGCAAGAGACCGATTTCTTAAAACCTGGCTAGTGTTTCTATGCATTAAAATCTCCTGGTGTGTCCCTTCATATCCTTTGTAGTTCATGATGGCAAGAATGGCCACTTGGACTTTTTCTTATTTTCTGTCTGGTTTGGTCTTTGCTCTCCCCTGTGACCTATGGCTGTTTGCTTTAACTCTGTGACTTTCTGTTTAGAAGGGCTTCTTTATCCTCGGAGTCCTCAAGAAAGCTTATCTCCATGGCAAGCTAACCAAATTAAATCCCAACCCAAGGAAAAGGGCAGCAAATATTGGGATCCAGCAAAAGTAAATGCACCCTACTTGTGAAGGCACCTTACTCCCAGGAGGAGGACGACTGAAGGACCGCTCATGAGCTCTCCTTGCTGTGTACTGTTGATCAACCTGCCTCTCAAACATGGCTAGAAACAAAGCCAATGCAGACCCAGCAGCATGCTTGTTATACCAAGGGAAATGTCTCCTTCACAACTTGCCCTCACCATATGATGGATGTGTTGGAGGCAGCAGCAGCTGGCATAGCTCATTCTCTTGGGAATAGCCAGGGCAACTTCCCAGGCCATCAGAGACCTTTCTGAGTTAAGTGAAATAGCAGTGTATGCAAAGGAAATAAGAGAGGCCCATAGCTTGGTGTTTACCCAGCATCCCATGTGTGTCTGTAAATGTGGGAGGGCACAAAGCTCCTACATAGCAAGGGTTAAGATATAGTTACTGGGAATGTTTCCATCAGGGTAGCTTCCCAGTGAAAGTAAATAAATAAATGCTGGCATGGGTGGATTCTGACTAAAGTCTAGACAGGAAAATATTGTTACAACCATAAGATATTTCAGATGATTTCACAGAAACATTTCTCCAAATTAAAGTGCTTAGAGCTATTCAGCTGTTTGGGGTTTTGGGGGTTTTTTCTTTTTAAAAAAAAGAAAACTTTCACACTCAGTTCCTAAGCCCTAACATGTCACAGCAGATGGTGCAAGCTCTATGACCACTTTGCTGAGGCACTACTGAAAGTTTTTAGCCTTAGATATGCCGGTCCTATGCTACCCTAGAGATGGTTTGTGACTGATATTGTGAAAGTCTAGGTGTAGGATGGGGGAACCTCCTAAGTCTCTGTACAATCTGATATTTTACTGAGTTTCACTCTAAGGTGTGGGACATGGATGGTGTGGAGTGTGGCTGGGTGTGTTGTTTGTTTGTTTTGGATTCTCTGTGGTTGTTTGGGGGGGTGGTTAAGGTTTTTAAGGAAGGGAGGTAGAGGAGAGTTTAAGTTTCTAGAGTTCCATTTTGCAGTGTTCCAGATTGGTAGAGACAGCAAGAGTTGGTAATAATGAATGGCTTATTCTATTGTAACAGAGTTCACCTAGCCTCAGTGGAGTTTTAAACTGAGAAATTACCTAGTTGTAATTTGCATGTTGTGTCTGTGCCAGAGGCCAAAATGTTAGCAGGGAAGGGCGTATGTTGGGAGAAGCAGTGGAAACATTACAATGAGTCAACAAGGTTGAACGTAGGGCTCCTCACAAGGGAAGCCTCGTTTATTAAGCAACTTGATCTCTCCCTGTGAGCTCATATGTGAAAAACAGGTTGAGCCATGTCTGAGGGTGTTGCCCTGTGGAATTTGTAGATAAGGATGCTTTATACCTGCGTGTGCCTAACACAGAGAGGTCAGTTACATTCTGTGGCTTCCGGAGGGAACAAGCCTCCAGAGGAGTACAGTTATTCCATTTTTCTTGCGGTAAGTTTATTGAAAAGAACTTTTGCTTCTTCCTCTTCTCCCTATGCCTCCCTTCAAATCTCAGATTCCCTAACTATGAGGTATGATATGTGTGGTTTTCTTCATCAACAGACCCAGGTATCACTACTGAGGCTGCAATGGCGTGGTGGAAGGCCTGGGTAAGTAGAGGATATACTGACACCCTTTTTTGACACTATAATAAGTTAACTTATAAGTTGTATCAGTCACTGTGTGGGAATGAAAAGTTTCCTTTAAAAGTCAGCAAGACCTGTTTACTGTTCTTCTAGCTGCACAGTAGCATTCAGCATTTCAAAAACACTGATGAATGAAGGTGTTAACATGATTGCTGGCTATAAGAAGAGGAGTAGACTCTGCCTGGCCCTTCAGTTGAGAGTGGTGCAGGGGGGTGTTTGTGTGCCTGTGTGCATGGGGAGATGGTACCACGGAAGAGCAAAGTTACACAGTTGAGGTCTGCAAGCTGAGGGCTCCTTGTCTGCTCCCTTCTCTTGTGGCCAAGTGTGAGTTCAGGGCACTGGTCTGTCCCCATTTTGGTCCCCTGTTGTGCTGGCAGGCTGTGGTCACAGAGAAAGATATAGTCAAGCCATAATGTCTTTCTTGGGTAGGTCTTTAATATTGCAACAACGTGTCCTTGAATACCCTGTCTGTTTGCTAGGAGCCAGAAATGCTATGTATGTTCTCTTGTAAACTCTTGTGGCTTTGAGAGGAATTGGCAGGATGGGAGATGCTCGTGGGGTGTGCTGAGGCAGCCTCCAGGGTCGAGCTCCAGCCAGGCAGCAGGTAGCTCTGGTGATGTGCCCAGTTCTGCTGCCATCCATGGCAGCTCTCCCATTAGCCTCTGTGGGAGGCCAGGTTTTACCCCCAGATTTCATCTCCAGATAACTATAAGCCAAAGCCTAGAAGAGACCTGCTGGAGACATGCAGTGGAGGAGTACTGGTAGAGAAGTCTTCTTTTACTGTTCCAACCCCTGCCCAGCACCTCTGCCAGTAGTACACAGGCTTTCTCTGGAATGCTTTTGGCTTGTTTGTTGAAGGATTTGTCCCAGAGTTCCCTCACTTGTTGTGAAGACAGCTTCATGTTTAAGCAGCCTGTGCAAAGGGTAAACCTGCACCGAGGCTCCAGTGCTGCTGCTCCTCTCCCAGCTGGGGTAGTGCTGCTGGTGGCTGAGCAGGGGGTGAGGGGCCTCCCTGCCACATGCCAGCAAAAGTACCTGGGAATCATAGGAGAGCTGTTTTAGTGTATTATATTGCCTCCAATGCAATGCAGCCATCAAGGAGGAAGAAACTACTCTGCATGGACGTGACCAACTTTTCAGGTTCTCAGTTACAATTTTGCAACTGAGGGGCAAGGACCGGAAGAAAAAAAACAAACTAAACCCAAAATACCTTGTGGAACAGAGATTGCCAAACTAATTCCTACTTTCCCTCAGTAGGATTCAGATAGCAAACTTTCATAATCTCAAAATATTTCTTTCCCCCCTAAAAAAGATTAAAGTTGTAATCTTCCTTTCTGCTGAGTTCTCTCTGCCTTGCTCTTTCCTTTTGGAAGTTTAGTATAATCAAATAGATGCATTTCCAAAGCTTAGAGTAGCTCTCACTTTAATTTTTCCCTTTCTGCCGATCTGTTCCCCACTACTCCAAGTTGGAAATAATTTCTAAACTTAGAATGAGAAAAGAAAGAGAAAAGCCCCTGAAAACTCCAGTGATCTCTTGCTAGTTGGTGTTGTAGGGGGTGGAGGCATGAAAAGAAAATGAGAGGCCCAAGGAAGGATGGGGAAAAATTGTTTTGGTTTTCTAAACCTGTCATAAAAAATACAGTTCAAAGGCAAAAAAAAAGAATGAAAAAGTGTGAAACTTTCTGAGAAACTTGCTACTGAGAAAAACCCAAAATGTAATCCTACCTGTCCCCAAATTCCAGCTTTTCAATAAACTATTGTTTAGTTTTGAAGATATTTTGGTAGTAAAGCTTTTAATCCTTCCTTTCATTTAGAGGTAAAACTTTTCAGAGCATCAGTTGTCAGGTACACTGATTCTACTGCTTTTGTGCCAGTTATTCAGATTTACATCAAGAGTGACACAAATGCCTTGAATAGTTTCGGTTAGGTAGTAGAAGGATCAATTCAACCGGGAAACAAGACCAAACTGAACAGGGTTTCTCTGAAAAGTTGATGTGGTTGTACCTGTGCTGCAACAATTATGTACATGGAGAATGAGGTGTATGAGTGAGTCACGAGTGTGCTACTTGAGCCAGGAAGGGCCGTAACTGTTTATTGGAATTAGTACCAAAAGAGATCATTGTTTAATTTGTTTCCACTGCCTCCAAATGAAAGCTCAGCTTTGCACTCCCTCTTTGACTGAGTCACCAGGCATGCGTCCAGAATGTTGGGGGGTTTTTTTCACATGTTGCTTGCATGCAGCTAGAGAGGGTTGACCATCTTTTTCAGAGCAAAATCACATGGGATGGGTGCAACCTGCTTTCCCAGAAAGCTGTGATGGTGCTGGCTGTCTTAGCAGAGGGCTACAAAAGGTACACCTGCCAGCTCAGCCAGACACCTCAGCCAGTGACAAACAGTTGGAGATGGCAATACTACCTAGTGTGTCACTGCTTTTTCTGCAGTGACAGCTTCACCACAGCCTTAAACTTGCTGTTCAGTGATTATTTGAATTCAAAGCTTCATCTGTTGAGAAGTTTCCTGTTGACACCATCTGCTTCACAGCTGCTCTTTCTGCTGGGACAAGGTGTGGTATTGCAGGAGTCTGTGCTGGCTGTAAAGCAAACTTCTCCAAGTCTTGCTGACTGATGAACATACTGCCTCTCTCAATACTCATCATTGCCTCTTGGTCCCTTGTCACTGCTCCTGGAGCTTGGCTGGCAAAGGGGCCACCAAGCAAACATGTGCCAGCTGTATCTACTGATACTCTCTCACAGGAAATAAGAGCAGAGGGTATTTGCATCACAGCAAATGGAGGCTGGTGGGTGGCACTTGGTGGTCCATATTATGCAAGTCAGGTAGGACATTCTGGTCTGTGAACTCTGATTTTTTTCTGGCCAGGAAGTCACCCCCATTGAAAAATCCAGCAGGTCATACTGATACCATTAATTCAGTATTAACACAATCTTTGAAAGTAAATTTATGAGAATATAGTTGTTTCCAACTTAAATATCTTTGCTGCTAAGAAAGAGAAAACTGTCTTATTGGAATAAAGTGATTATGACTCTTCATGCCTATCCACCCACATACTCTCCTGTTGATAGGACCAGCTTGTTAGAGATGTGACACTATATCCAAGCCAGTCCCTTGACTAAAAGCTATGTTAAATCAAAGCTTTTATGCCTGGGTTTTGGTTGATTGCCTTGCTTACCTTGTGGTGACTGAAATAATTCTCAGTGTGTCTTTCTGCCCTGGAACTCTGGCACTTTTGGCACCTTAGGGGTCTGTCAGGGGGATTCTTGTGTAGTTGGCCCTTGGTACAGCAAAGAACTCAAACTTGCACTCCTCTGGATGTATCTCTACCTTCAAAGTAGTCTCTTAGCCCAAATCCTTCCAGTGGAGATGCTTCCTTCCTGGAACCAGCTGTGCAGAAGTGCAGCAGCAGCAGCTACTTAGAGAAATGGCTTGTGAGAGCAAGACTATTCCAGGAAATCAAAAAACTACCTAAAAACTACCCTGCACCAACCCACTGGGAAATGCAGTATGATGCTATAGCATACATGCTGTGAAGCACTGTATTTAAGGGGTGAACAGGAAAGTCCAATCTATCGCAGTCTGAGGTTTTTCTGCCAGACTGCCTGCACTGCCTGCTGACTCTTGCAGCAGCGTCAGCCATGCTTTGCACTTCATGTTTCTGCCGGGAGCCAAAGGCTGGTACAGACAGGTGGAGACAGGAAACTTGTGTTCTCTTTGGAGAGAAACTTGTGTTCTCTTTTTGCTCTGCTGAGAAACTTTGAAACAGGCTCTCCTATTTTCTGGGACTTCCCCATGTGTAGGCAACAAATGGCATTATTGTACTTTTCAAATGCTTTTTCTTCAGCTGATGAAATACAGTAGTGAAAAGTCCTGTATTTTTCTTCTTTCAGAGTGAAGAAGAGGGCAAGTCTGTGGCAGGGGCTTTACGTTTTGATGCTGCACCTGATGCCCAGACTCTGTACAAGGCCATGAAAGGGCTTGGTGAGTTGACTCCAACCACATATGTAAATTCTAGTTTTGCTTATACTTGCTAAGTTGAAAGCCATTCCTTAGGAAATTTGCATCTGGAGATATAACTTTTTTTCATGTGAAAAATTAAAGTTTCCGTAGTATGTACTTAAATTTCTACATGAAGGCAATGAACTAGGCAGAGTTATCTGAATATTCAAACTGGGATTTTGGACTAGTCTCAGCTTATTCTGTGACCTTTGTTTATGACTTATTGTTGCTCTCCACAGGGACTGATGAACAAGCTATAATTGATGTCCTAACCAAGAGGAGCAATATACAGCGTCAAGAGATTGCCAAATCCTTCAAAGCACAGTTTGGAAAGGTTCTGCCAAAGCAAAGCCATATTCAATCACTGTTTTACTGCAGCCGGGATGTAGTAAATGGGTGTACAGTTCATCCTGCAAGCATGATGCAAACAATACGCAGGTCTTCTGCAAATAACTAGATTAATATCTATTTATAAGGCCTGGGATGAATGTGGGAAATTAATTTTTGATCAGAAAAACTTGGTTTTCTCCCAAAGACTTAAATTTTTTTGTAAAATGCATTTTGACAAGAAACACTTTTTAAAAATCAGTTTCAACTTAGAGTGTAGCTTTTTATTGTTTTTGAAGCTGTACCAAAAATTGATATTTTTTTAAGTGATATTTTGAGTAAAATATTGGTTTGGTTTCAGGCCTTTTTAAGTGTCACAGAAAGTTCAATTTAAAGACTTATTTAATTACAGTTGTTTGGAAATTCTGAACATGAAAACAATCTTGGTTATTGACAACCATGTTTTCCTGTGGCTCTCTTTGTTTCTTCGATAAAAATCTTACTTTTAATGGGAAAACTTTTCCACAAGCCAGCTGTGCTACCAGCCCTACTCTGGAGCCTCCAATGACCCTTTGCTGGAAACAGAACTGCCATGCAAGAGCCCCAGAAAAGGAAACAAATATGGGAGTGGCAAATATGGAACAATGTATAAATAGAATGCTTGCATCCCACTAAAACAAAGACAGTCATACCCTCGAAAAACCTGCACTGTAGTGAAAGGAAAACTTGAAGTGTTTCTTCAAGCAAACTTCATGCCTGATTCTGCAAATGTCCCGGGTGCAAGTTTATGTTCAGGCTTTGGGAATCAGCTTTCCCTGAAGCTACACCTGTGTTCAATTCAAGGCCTTCAGCTGCCTAATCTGCTCACTAACTAGAGCAGGATGGAGAAAGATTTCCAGCAGGATGATTTACTACCTGGGAAAAGCTTAAGTATTGAGGAAACAGGGAATGTGGAAGCACCTAAACAAATCTCATTTTGCAGTTAGGTGCCATTTCAGTCCCAGGACCTTTTTTAATGAACTATCAACACAATACTGTCATTCAGCTTCATTACTTAGGCCATGGGGATGGAAACAGCATGGGCAGTAAAAAGATCCTGTGAAGCTGTTTATGTAACTATGTGATGCATATTTAACAGGATCTGATTGAAAGTCTGAAGTCTGAACTGAGTGGCAACTTTGAGAGGCTCATGGTAGCTCTCATGTACCCCCCATTCAAGTATGATGCCAAGGAGCTGTATGATGCCATGAAGGTAAGCAAATTGCATGCTGATATTTACGTAATAGCACAAATGCAGTGCTAAATTCCTGTAATTGTGCTTATTAATGTAATTAGTAATAAGTGGACTGTTACGTTAAGTTTGTTATTAGCAGTAGCCTTTGAGAAATAGTTAATTGTATTATTAATGCATATTGTGGTTATGGCTATAAAAGAATTTCTGTACTTGTGTGTCTCATGGTTTTGCTGTTGCCACAACCCCAAGGTTGTGGGTTCAGTCCCTGGAGGAGCCATTCACTGAAGAGTTGGACTTGAAGATCCTTGGGGGTCCCTTCCAACTCAGAATATTCTCTGATTCTAAATTCACACACAAAGCTGCTGCCCTGATGCCCCACCTGAGCCATGAAACCTTAAAGAAATTAAGGAGTGGTGGTGCAAGGGCCAGGCTGGGGGTAGCTGGGATCCTACCTATTGGTACTGTATCTTTACATGTTTCAGATGCAGAGTGGTCTATTAAAGTGGTCCAAAGATGACTGTCTAGCCAAGCATTGGTCTCCCCACATCCCTCTAATGCTGTGTGTTGTCAAAGATCTGACTCCAGAAATGCACTGCAGAAGTGTGGGGTTACATAAAATCATCCTTGACAAATTAGGCACTTCAGTAAAAGAAATCGTGTTCAAATCAAATGTGCTTTCTGTCTCCAGCTTTCATCATGACAGTTTCTTACAGCTCAGCACACAGCCTGACACTGCTGCTATCCAACGCCTCCCTTGACCATACTTTCCTAGCAATAAATCACACTCCATGACTAGATCCTTTTCTCCACCTTTATTTCTCCACTGTGTTTTCTATTAAAGGGTGTGGGAACCAGTGAAGGTGTTATCATAGAGATCTTGGCATCTCGGACTAAAGCACAGATCAAAGAGATAATCAAGGCTTACAAAGAAGGTAGGTGCCTGGGGCTCAGATTTCTGTGGTCAGAGCAATGAGCCTGATTGCACAGCACTAATGGTGTTACCAGCTAGCACTGTCAGCAGGAAAATGGCTTTTTTAAAAGCCAAAAGGTGGAACCTAACTTTGTTTTCAGCCTGGCAAATAGAACATGGCTGTGCTGAGATAATTTGAAAATCCCTTTCTAGGTCTTCATCCAGCTACAGCAGAGGGTCAGCAAACCACAGATTTGGCTCAGTTCGGCCACAAGGGCTATTGTCAGAACACAAGCAAAACTAGAGCTGTGCACTTGACTGCTTCTCCCCATTAAATAGATGGGATTTTATTAAATATGTATTTGTAAATATTTGATCTCTTTGATCCCCTCAACTATACCTCTAACATTGGCTCTGGGTTTATTCCTTGGGCATCAGGGGAGCTAGTGACTCAGATGGATGCAAGTGCCAGCCTGGGTATCACTGAGGGTGTGGTCTCAGCCCTATTTTGTTCCCTAATTACCTTTTTGACCATCATCCTTCGGTTACTGGTAATATCTTGACTATACCACCCAAATAACAAATCCTTCCCTTGTCCTTCTCTTTCCTTTGGATAGAATATGGTTCTGATCTGGAAGAAGATATAAAATCGGAAACAAGTGGCTACTTAGAACAGATTCTGGTTTGCCTTCTTCAGGTAATGCTACAAAAGAGAAATGAGGGTATAAAGATCATCACATTTTTCTCCTCCTTTTCTGAGAAGACATGCAATAGAAAAGCCAGTACAGTCATGATCACCAGATAAACTGCGGAGACAACCATGTCACTTGGAGTGGATCTGTTTCAGCTTCCATGTACTGAAGCAGGGAACTCTCCATCCTTTAACAGCAATAAGAGATGGAATCTTAGAGCCAGCTCTGCTGCAGGGAGACACCTCACTTTTCTGTATGTGTAAAGCCACTGCAGTCTACAAGGGTCTTAGAAAACAGTGGCCCTCCACTATGATTCACCACTTTTCTAGGGTCTTTGCCTTTGATGTTGAGTGTATTTGGATGCATTTACTCTATCACATTTTCTCAATTTTTCTGCCTAGCAGCAGAATAACTGAGGAATTTTTTTTACTCCACTTCATGACTGATTTCAGTGCCTTTCAGAGAAGGAGTTAGCACTTGTGCTGTCTGAAGCATTACTGCTTGAGCACTCTGCAGTAATAGATAGCTGAGAAGGATAATTGATCTTTGCCCAGAACAGATGCTGTGATCCTTATTGATGGAAGAATCTTTGAAGCAAAATGGTTACCTTTCCTTTTCTTCTCACAGGGTGAGAGAGACAATGCCACTCTCTATGTGGACACAGCCCTGGCTCTCCAGGATGCAGAGGTACTCTCAAATGCCTGTGATCAGATATGCCTGCAGATATGCCAGATATGCCTCAGATATGTCTGCATCCCCACCTTCCTGAAATTCAGACTGCTTCAGTGGGCAACAGAGTCCTGGTTATCAGAGGGTTGGACTCCCAATAGTGTGGGGTGGGGTGATCTTCAAGTAAGCAACTTGGGGTTCTTCAGTTTTGCCTGCACTGCTGAGCTTTGCCATTCCAAAGAGGAGTGATGAGACCTAGGCTTGTGCTCAGCTGCTTTTGATATGTGAAGTCTATGGATATACTAGAGTGGAAGAGGAAAGAAAAGGGAAGAAACCTCCAGAGTATTGTTGGCTGCTCCAGCTGCTGCAGGAGGGGTGGAAAGGATGGAGATAGCAGCTGCTCCAATTTGTCTAGAAGACAGTCAAAGGTTTTCATAATCAACCATTCTAGAAGACCCTAGTTCACACGGTGTTTTAAGTTACTTCAAACCCCTTTACCCTAGTGATGCCTTCAGACAAACTCTGTTCCTTTACCAGCTGCACACACAGAACATCTCACTAATAATTGTGTGTTAAATTACAGACTCTCTATGCTGCTGGAGAGAAGATACGGGGCACTGATGAGATACAGTTCATCACCATCTTGTGCAAAAGGAGTGCCACACACTTACTGAAAGGTATGGAGGAAAGCCCACACTCCCAAGCTCTGGAATGAGAAATCACTCTAGCCAAAAAGAAGAGACAGGGCTATAGGTGGAAGAGATGGGTGGTCGGAAATAAGTACCTGAGTCTATTTTCTAATCCTTAGTCATTCAGTAACCAAAAGCTGCTAGCAGCTTCTATGAAAGATTAGGAAGACTTAGTTCTGCTGAAAACCAAGTGGCTTATCTAGGAGTCCTTTATACAGTGCTGATACAGGATGGTTGGTATAGTTGTTTTTATAAACCCAAGGAGTGAGTGAGTGAGTGAGTCCCTTTCTAACCAAGGAGCATGTGGTGGACAAACAAATGACCCCTTGAATGTGGTTCCTTTGGGGGGGAAAAAAAATCACTAAAAAAGGCATCAAGGTCTGCTGGGAGGGAAGACACTAACCCTTTTCCAGCTAAGAGAAACCTCAGCTCCTCACTGTCCATGCAGCAGAGACCCGACCTTGTCATCTCAAGACTTTTGAGGCATAACAGATTTTGTTATGTTGACTTAATCTAAGCATATCAAGTACTATGTAAATCAACTGGACCTAAACTGATAAATGTAGCTGGTGATAAATTAAGCATGCCTGAACTTTTTCAAGCTGAGGTCTTCTGAGGCTGTTTCTATGCCCTGGAAGCCAGCTCCCCCTTGTGTTTCAAATTCAATCTCCCAAGGTCACTTAAAAAATAAACACACAAAAAAAAGGGGCCTCTAGAATCTTTGTCTGTATCTGCCTTTAAAACGCAAAATTCGTCTAGTTGTTGTCATAATGCAACCAATCTTTGAAACCTACCGTGGCACCAGGCAATTTCCTCTGTGCTATGGCAGCCTGGAGCTGATTGTCTTTAAAACCTGCGTGTAATTGTTGCAGCCTTTTTTTTTTTTTTTTTTAACACAGTGGGTCTGAGTTGAGAAGTTTGTATCCATCTATCTATTCTGTACTCTCTTTCCTCAAAGTGTCTTGAGTGTTGATGTCTTGGATGCTGAGCAAAGTTTATTAAGATGTCCATTGTATTATATAGAAGTTTTCCTTCTCTGTTAGTCTGAAAGCTAGGAATAAAAACAGATATCTATGTTTCTGAACCCTGGAGTATACAAAGTGTGTAAGGTGAAAAGTGAGTCTGTTCCTGAGCTTTTGTTAATGTGGGAAGTCAAATATCTTGGAATATGCACCTGTGTTTTGCTCATCTTTTCTCAGTTGTTTTTTTTAAATTGTGGTTGAAATAGTAAGTTTTCCCAAAATGTGTGGTCATCATTTTAAAGTCCATGGGCCATGAGCAGCATAGTCCTAGATTAAAGTTGATTTTATTTTGGCTCTTGAAGCTAATGACATCACCAACCACAAGACCAAAGGTGTGCCTCACCTCCTGTATTCTGCTTCATTTCTGTGTTTAAAGACAGCAGTGAAGGGTCAGATTTCCAAATGAACTTGAGATGACTGAAATTACATTTTCAAATGAAGGCAAGAAATTAAGAATCAGGGATGGTTTGGGTTTTGTGAATATTGCCATCCACTGTTGTACCTTATTTCTGATGTTGACTAAAGCCTCCTGCTGGTGCAAATGTGACCATTGCTTTAGCAGGATCTGTGTGTTCATATAACCACACAGGCAGTGCCTGCAAATATTGGGCACAAAATGCCTCAGAGGTTCCTTGGTAAAAAATTGAAGTTCTTTGTGTTTCAAACAGTGTTTGAAGAATACCAGAAACTGGCTGGTAAGAGCATAGAAGACTCTATCAAGAGTGAAACTCATGGTTCACTTGAGGATGCCATGCTGGCTATTGGTAAGAGTGATGATGTTTCCCTTTGCTTTGTCTGAATCTGCTGCCTTTTCTCCTGCAGTAGTTGACTGTTATGAGGTGAATCTACTTTATAAAGGTATCTGGCAGGTAGTAAAGGGTGCCTCTTGGGTAAGATAAACTCAGATTTCTGGAGCACACTGAATTAATGGAAAGGATGTTGAATCTGTCTGAATCACCTGCTGCCCTGGACTGGAATTACCATTGATTCTTACTGAACCTTTTTGTATGTCTAGTGAAATGCACCAGGAACATCCGTTGCTACTTTGCAGAGAGGCTGTACCATGCTTTAAAGGTAAGGCTCTTCATTGTAACACACTTGTTTTCATATTGGACTTAACTTGTAACCTGGCTTCCACCAGCTCAAACCAGAAGAGCCAAAGTTTTGGTGAAATGCAGCAAGTTTTGTGCAATTCTTGCAAAAAGTAGCAGAATTCTTTCAAAAACTTTCGGTAGAAAAGTACCCTTTAAGCTTGAGATACCAAGGGAGTCTGGTTTTTCTGGTTTAAGAGTCTGCAAGAAGCCCAATCCCACTTCCTGGAACGCAGACAAAACCTCTGGAAGAAGCTTTTCTAGGGGGTTGATTATGGTGAAGCTTTGCATTCCATGTTAATAGACTGGAACACAGTATTTTCTCTTTAGGAAGCAATTCTCTCAAGGGCAGTATAAAATGAGAGTTCTAAATGGGGACACATAAGGCATTTGCAGATTGTGCCCCCGTAACGCTTAACTGATATGTAAAAGACGTCAGCTCTCCCAACTTTTTGGAGAGCTGAGATAACTGATTTGTTTTGTTTATAGATGTGATCTTAATTTTCCTGTGAGTGATTAAACAATATTGGTTGAAGCCAAACATTGCATGGATGATGCTACACAATGTGTATTCAGTGCCAATTTCTGACTCTGTAGCGTGTTTGCTTTTGCATTTGACATAAGCAGAACTTGTAGCACACTTCTGTGGTGGGCATGTGGTGGTGATGGTGGCCCCTGGGACAGGTGTGAGGGTTGGCCCTCCAGAAAGGGATGCAGATGTTCTGCAGGACAAATGATGTTCAAAAGCTGACTCCTCCTGTCCTGAACCAGTTTGCACAGCTTATCCCTTGAACACCCAGTAACATCACAGACTGATCTATCTGCTATTCCAGGGGGCTGGCACAGATGATGGAACTCTTATAAGGGTGATTGTTTCTCGAAGTGAAGTTGACCTGAATCTTATAAAGCCTGAATTCCAGCGTATTGCAGGAAAGTCTCTCTCCAGTATGATTTTGGTAAGCAGAATCTTGATATGATGATTCTTAGCCATTACATGTATTCCTAACCTGTCTAGCACTGTGGGATTTTTCCATGGTTGTTTGCAGTAACAATGTCATTTCGGCTGTGATCATGGCTCTCCTTCATTAGGGCTATTAACTATCATCCCCTTCAGAGACATATATACTTGAAAGGTGAGTCAGGTTGTCAGACTGTATGCTCTACAAGTGACTTGGACAAAGCAAACCCAAGAACAGACTGTGCCAGGTTTTTCATGGACCAGACTTTGTATCCATGCACTGTCTGATCTTCTAGATGAATCTAAATTGTTACACCTATCCCACACTTCTGTGCCATTTTCTTTTCTCTCTCTGCTATCCTTAACTACCTCAAGCCGGTACCATATAAGTCAAAACAGTGCTGGGGGTTTTTCTTTTTGTTTCCTTTTTTTTTTTTTTTCTTGTTGTTGCTGTTGTTTGGGATTTTTTAGCTGACTTTACCCCAGGTGAAAGCCTGGTATATACTGTGATGAGACAGGTTTAGAAACTGAACCTTGTCAAAGCTTATTGTAGCATTTGAATGTGCCTCCCCTCTCAGGGCTGAAATGCTGGTTTTTACCGTTTGTCCTAAGGACGCTGGGACATTCCTCTCCCCCTGTGCAAATGGCACAGAAGCCCTATCCTTAGTAGTCCCCATGGGAAGTAATGGTTCTGTAATGAAGGCCCTTTCCTGTAATTGACACTGTCAGAGTCTGTCATGTTGATTAATGATCGGTCTTCAAGGATCTGTACAGCATATTCATTCCTTCTGAGAAGTGGAACTGCTTTACACCTGTCATGACAAAACATTCAAAGGGAGCAAATTTTTTTTATCTAGTGAATATTTTGTGTGTGCTTCTAGATAAAAATGACCCTGGTTTTGGCTTTTTAAAAAATACCATGTGTCAGGGCTAACTCTAGTACCCTTTCCCTTCCTGTAGGGAAGAGATGGTACACAAATATCCAGGGATATAAAATCTGAACACAGCTGGCTTGATTGCTCTCATTTGTGCTGACTTGGTGCTGCTCTGCAGGACAGAACCCTGACCAATTGCTCACCTGCATTCCAAAGGAAAGAATTAGACTTGATAAATGTTATTTCAGGTGGCAGCTACAGGCCTCATTTCTCCATTCACTTTTGATGGTGTGTCAGTTGGCAGCAACTCTGCTAAAGTCTGGCTTGCTCTTTCCAAAATCCTTTTCCTGTGTGGGCATATTCCACAGACTGACTAAGTCAGCACTTGGAGCATATAGAGGAACTTCCATGCTCACCTATTTTTTAATTTTTTCTCCTGTCAGGATGATACCAGTGGTGATTACAAGACAGCCTTGATGAATCTCTGTGGCAGTGACTGACAAACTTTAGGAGGAGGATGTTGAAAAGGATACAGAGAAAATTAACAGCGAACAAGGGTCTTGAAAATGTAAATGTAGAAAATATTTCCATTGATCCAAGTGGGGAGAAAAAGAAGATCAAATTAATAGTCAAGATTTCCAAAGCTTTCTGAAGGTTGTGGATGCTCATTATACATTAAATGCTATTGACTTCCCCTATAGTTTTTCAAACACAAGGGGGAAAGTTAATTTTTTTGTTTCCATTTTGTTCATTGTAATTTCCCTTCTGTTTTAATTCTTTGTGAAGTATGATGCTTTGAAGAGAAAGTAAAGGTTCTTTTAAACCCTCTACAGTTGTTTCACAAGTCTGAACAATTCTACAAAGCTTGGGCTGTCCTGAAGCCTTGCTAACTTCACTAGGATAAGCTGGTAGAGTGTGGACTGTTTGATGCTAGCAGGGTGGGTCTGGAAGGAGTCCCTGCTATTAATGAGGCTTTAGGGCATGGGTCAGAATGCCACGGGGGTTGGTTTAGCAGCCTTATCTGCATAACTTCAGTAGGGTCTCCCCAAGGTGCAGTGAAAGGCAGAGCCAAGCTGGCTGTAAGCATGTGAAAGTTGAAAGCTGTGTGCCTGATTTCCTTCTTGCTTGTCTGTTGAGGAAGATCAGCAAGTTCAGGCCTTGACATCAATGTCAGACCATGGGGGAATCAGAATTGGAGTAGATGATTTGTTTATAGTGAATATAGTATATCCTGCCCTGGGGAGCAGACCTGTTTCTGCTCCTAGTTTCACAGTAACTCCTCAGATGTCCATACACTCCCTCAGAAGTTGCCTCCAACCTCCATGACTGCACCCACCACTTGCTGAGTGAGGCCCCAAATGTGTGGACAGTGATACAGAGATACAGAGAGAACAGGATAAAATGGTTTGAGAAGCTCGGGTCTGCCTTGACCGCTGATTCTCCACACTTAGAGCAAATCATTTAAATGTGTAATTACCAAAAGGCATTGTGTTCAGGAAAGGAGCTTTTCCAATCAAGTGGATGAATTTATTGGCCATGGGGTAATACCTTGCTTGCACTGCTCAAATTGACAGGAACCAGTGCAGTCAGAGTGGTGAGTTAAAAGGTTTTAAGGAGTCCAGGCCACAGACCTGGGACCTGGGCTCAGGGTATCTGCACACTTCTGGTGAACACAAAGAAAAGGAGGTTTCAATCCCTGCCCCTTTAAGTGCTTGTGTTTTCAGTGATATCCCAATTCCTCACCTGAACTAAAATCAGTTGGAGACAGGTCTCTTAACTGAGCTTCAAGGTAGGGGTTCTTCTCTCAGTTTTTGAGGGATATGGGCCAGCTACAGGCACCAAAGGACAGGGAATTGCACGTCCCTTCTGCTGGCCAAAGGCCCCACTTGATTCAGTCACTTGTTCTAGTTGATACCGATGATCAGCCTTCCCTGGTTTTGGGTTTCTTTTTTGCAGGGGGGTTGTGGTGTGGGATTTTTTTTGTTGTTGTTTTTGTTTGTTTGTTTGTTATTAGGTTGGAGGGGGTTGGGGTTTTTTTTGTTTGTTTGGGTGTTTTTTGTGTGTTTTTTTTTTCTTTGTCATTTGTTTGGTTTGGGTTTTGGGTTTTATTTGTTTTCCCTTTGTTTGTTTGTTGTTTGAGTTTGGGGGGTTTTGTTTGGGTTTTTTGTGTGTATGTTTTTTGTTTTGTTTTGGTTTGTTGGTTTTTTTTATTTGCTTGTTTGTTTTTTTGAGCCGGTTCGGGCGCTGGTTTCCACGAGAGGCATGCCAGGGTCGGGAGGAGGAGGGGAGGCAGGGAAAGCCGTGCTTACACCTCCATCTGCTGGGGACAGGGCACAGCCTGCGCGCAGCCCGGCGGCTGCACCCCGGGCATCCCTCGCCTCTCCGGGCAGGGCTCCCGCGGGAGGGGCGAGGAACAGGCGAGATCTGCACCCTCTCCCCCTTTGCTCTCCCTCCCAGCTGCCGTAAAGGCTGCAACGGGGGCGAGGGGTGGGAGGGGGAAGGATGCGTTTGCTGTCCCCTTTTGGACTCCACTTTCGGGGCTTTCACCCCGCAGTCCCTTGGCGCTGGCACGGCTAAGGGTCTCTGCAGGAATGCACTGCTCTGACCAGACTCACGTGATGAGGTTTTAGCGAAGATATGACCCATTCCCTGTGTTTGAGGTATTATTTCAGAAAGGCCAAATGGGAATTCGTGGCTGCCTGAGCAGGGAATGATTTACATGGCTGCACCAGCAACACCTCCGTTTCCTGAAGTTGGACAAGCAGCAAATGAAAAGCAATCCCAACTTTGAGGGACCTAAACTCTGACTAGAAAAGCCTAATGAAATTCAGCCCTTCAAACATATTTTAGTTCAGAGTTATCTGATGATTTCACTGAAACATTTGTGCTTATATCATCGCAAAGGTCCCTGTTATTATTGTTATCAGGTTATTCAAGTCAGAGGTTGGCTTTTGTTGGCCTGTGCTTAGCACAGTGGGTCAGGATTAGAGCTGTTTCACTGTGTTTGTGATCCCAATTTATTAATAAGAGCTTGGGAGATGTTAAGTTGCCAGTATGCTCACACAAGATCAGTAGTAAAGCTGGAAAGGAGAAACAATCACGGGAAGCTGATTCTATCACTGTAATTGCTGGGAAACAAAACAATTGTAAAACATCAATAAAGATTTAATTACATATTGATTGCTGCTAAAATGTTCCCTGGGTGAACAGGCACTTTAATAAATCGGAATCAATTCCTAAGCTGTTCTAACCAGACTTTTCTAAATGCAAAGATTGACTTAGGGCCTTTCTATTCATTCACAGTTTTATTAACATGATTTTATTGCACAAAAATCAAGATAAAAGCTCAGCAAGGAAAAGGTAACACGGGCAATGTAAAAAGTGCCCACGACTTGTGCAGGCCTTCTGCTGCCTATGTGCCAGTCTTTTTCCCTCCCTGTGCTGCAGAAAGACCTGTGTACAGGGAGTCTTCAGGGACTGTAGTAATGCCACCTTGCTGTCCCCCCTGGGTGGCTGCTCAGTGTCCTGAGATGCAGTGCACACACAGCAGGAGCTGTGCTATCCATCAGCCTGGTGGGGTGTAGGTACTTTAGCTCTCTGCTCAACTCACACCCACGTGTCCGTAGGAATAGCTGTCTCCAACTACTGGCTCTGTTCCTGATGCCTGGAAAACTAACAAAAATCTATTCCAGAGAGGATGCTAATGCATACATCATTTAACCTCTGAAGGTTTCTATTCCAGAGAAATCTATCTTTATATAGTGTTGTTAGTTCTCCCAGCATCCCAGTCCATATGTGGCCTGAATCCCAAAAGGCCAGACACAGGATCTCCAGGCAGTGGCCAGCCACAGGCAAAGGCTCTGCTTCTTAAGAAGTATGTCATCACTGTGACTTCTGGAGAGAAGACAAAAAGATTGGAAAGGTTTGGCTTCACTTGCATTTCTATTTTGCAACAGTTTGGAGTAATTTTTGAATAAAATATATTTAAGTGTTCAAACGGATGTTAAAATACATTGTTCCTGTTGGGAAGTAGATAAAGAAAATAGCAAATATCTTAGTTGGGAAAGTGGAAGATCTCTTTCCTATCTCCTCATGCTTAAGAAAGTGTTTTTAAGGGCAGGAAATAATCTGAGAAAGATGTTCAGTCTTCCTCTTTCCCTACAGTTTCCTTGTCAGTAACAGAGCCAACCCTGGCTGCTGTAGGCTGTTGAGCTGGGGCTGGGGTGGGGCAGGTCAAGAGCCTTGCCTGAGGCACCGGAGCTGACACTGGAGAGTCTTTGAAGAAGCCCAGAAGCACTTCTTCTCTTCCGAGCAGAGGGTGAGTTTGCCAAAACACAGGACAGCACAGTGTGTGGCCTGGGGGAAAGGGAAGGTGGGCTATGGCAGTGTGGATGGCCCCAGTATTTGCTCTGGGGTGGGCTGGAGAAAAGCTCGAGAGGAGAGCATCCTCATTGCTGGGCAGATGGGAGCCTTTCTAAATGGAAACTGCTGATTGTTTTTTTTTTCTTAAATTAATAAATTAATGGTAGATTAGTGTTGATTTATTAATGTAACATGCTGCAGTGAGGAAATACTTCCTGCCACAGGCATCCAGATGGGATAATGGAGTCTCCTAGTGTCGTGGCTTATCGCTTGGCTTTCTTGAAGCAGTCCATTCTGCTGGCAAGGTGGCCATCTGATAATAAATTGTACATCTTCCTAGAGGCTCTTGTATGGAATCTCCTTTGCAGGGAAGATAACAGCAAACTGTAACATGCTAAGATGGGCCTGTGCCAAAGACCCGACGGGCTTTCCTTCAACTTCTGCATTGAAACCAAATGCCTGAGCTGATTCCAAAGGCCCTTTAGTGGCTGAGATAAATATCTGAAGAACATTTCCATGCCTGGGATACTGCAGCAGCAAGAGATGTTTTGTTTGACACAGTGCAGTGAGCTCTTCTCAGGCCACATGTAAACAAGGTCAACTCCAATTCTCCATCACTCTCATTTTTGCAAACATTACTGGCCTTGTAAGTAGTTGTTCGGTCTTCTGGTGTCATCCATTTGAACCCAAAGAACTCTGCCCTGAGGTTCCAAGAAATTATCTATAGTTTTTGTTTTTTACTAAAACCCTTATGTTAGGCTGTAGAAAAGAATTCATACTTTAGGGTTTGTATCTGCCTCTCTTTTGAGAAGATGATAGAAACACCCAGCCCTGGGGACCTGGGCTCCTGTATCTTTCTGAGAAAAGTATTATTTGTTCAAGCTGTGTTTGTTTCCCCAGTATTCCTTACTGCTACAAATCCTAATTAACCATGGTGCATCAGCATCATACCTTGGACTGCTCATGTCTGTTGGAGGCTTAGGACACTGGTATGGGAGTTCAAAGGTCCCAAGGACTTTATCCCATAATACTTTGCATTCTTCTACTTGCAAAGAAATACTTATGGTGATGTTTTTCTATGATATATAAATCACGTGATACACCCAAGCAGTTTTATAGTCCTGGGAAACCTTTTCTG